AATTCTATGGTCAACTTCCAGTGGATGTTGACCACAGAGTTGCACTGGAGGACCTAGAGAGTCAAAGACAGAACACCTCTCCAGGCATTTGTAGCTCCTTCAACACAATTCTATGCGAATGTTGACCATTCAGGTGGAGGAACAAGAGATTCCTAAAGTTTCACAGCAGTCCTGTGCCCCTAACCCCAGAGAATATGGAGCGCTCACCGTATTTTGGATTTCACGATTCTGAATAAGGGAGACTCAATCTGGAATGGGAAAGCCTCTTCTCTGACTTTGACTGCATTGTTTAGTTTTACAGTCGTCCCTCCACATTGACAGCTTTGACGTTTGCAGCTTTGATTATTCACAAATTTCATTATTATGTCTTCTAGAAATCTCTCAGTCCTCCAGTGTGACTCTTCTGGAATTTGTCCATAAGAGTCACGCTGGAGGGTCTAGAGATTCCTAGAGAGAATGCTTCTCCACTACAATTCTATGGTCAAATTCCCACAGGTGTTAACCATAGAGTTGCGCCAGAGATTCCTAGAAAGGTGATCTCTCAGGTTGAAAAAAATTGTGATTTCTTATTTGCACTTTTCCTACTTTCACGGGGGTCCTGAGCCCTTAACCCTAGCAAATGTGGAGGGCCCACTGTACTTACTATTGTGTGCTAGAAGTATCCGCCTGGGGAAACAGGGAAGAAGAGGAGGGAAGGAGGCACAAACTTTTTACAGACCTGGTTGCAGAAGAATGGAGGATCCAGGTTTGGTGGCCAAATGCGACGCCACCTTCTGCCCTCACCCGGCAATCCCAGATTTCAGCTGTGGACTGAAAATTCTGTGGACCGATCGATTCCATCTCCTTCCCACTGATTTTGCTTTATCATATTTACTCAAGGGGAAGGTACAATTTTCAGGGGCTCAGGAAAGTTGTAGGACTTGGGAGGATAACTCTGGGGTAGCAGGAGGGCGAAACAAACATGTGGAGGGCTATGTGGTCACTTCAAACCTCGATTCACAAGGAAAAGCAAGTCAAAATGAGAAAGGGGAGGCTACAGGGGGAGTAGAGTAGGGAATTGTGACATGAAATTAAAAATAAAGCAAAATCAACACCAATGTGGTCAAAGAGAAATCCATTGTTAAAAGTGAAAACATAAGGAAGGGAGGAAGGGCGGGGAGAGAATCATTTTTTTTTATGTTTTTTAAAATAAAAAATAATACAACTAAAATAGATAGATAAATAATAATAGTAATAAAAGTGAAGTGACCGGTTGAAAGCACCAAACAAACAAACAAACAAACAAAAAAACCAAAATGGTGTTAAAAAACATTTTGACACCCGGCAAGCCGCTGCTCCGAATGAGGTGAGAAGGCGGACATTATTGGCATTTTGGCGAGACAGGAGTCCATTCCGTCTTACTCCAAAATGAGGAGGGTCGGGTGAAGGTGGGGGGAAAGGGGGAGCCAAAATAATGTGCAGCCTCATTATATTTCTAGTGAAGATTAGATTACACCTGTCCGTCCCGCTTCAAATCAATGACTGTCGACCGTCTCCTTTTTTCTCTCGCTCGGTTTGGATCTACCGCTAGCTCGGATTGGGGTGGCTTTGGGCATTTTTTTATTATTTCCCTTTTACCTCTCTCTGCTCTTTGGACAAAGGCTTCTCTTCCTCGCCTCCTCCACTTATCAATGCCTTGCCGGCCAGTAACCGAATTTAAGAAATCAAGATAACTGCACCCCTTTTCTGTCATTTTGACATGCCCAAGAATGGGAATGTTACGCTAGCTACTATTTTCCCCATTTGGTGCATGCATTTAAAAAAAACAACACGCTAGTCTGCTAGATTGTTTTAAACTCTGAATGGATTCCCAGTGGTCCTCACACCAATCTGTAATTTTAGATACAGGATGGCGTTGGGGGGATATTTTTTATTTCACATGAGTGTGACGAGGTGTAATCTAAAATTTTCCCTTCTCAAAACAAAGAGAATAGCAATGCAAAAAAAGGCATATTACGACATAAGCAGGCAGAACTTTTCAAAACCACGATAGCACAGTGTTCCTGCAGAGCACCCTTTCAATAATTTGGCCAGACCCAGGTCACGCTTCCCTGCAATGCTCGAGAAATCCTTCTGCAGAAACAGAGTGTTAATTTCACTGGATATTTATTTGACTGGATTTGATTTTGACTTTTTTAAAAGTGGAATTTCAGAGCGGTCGGCTGACCAAAACAGCAGAGGGCATCCGCTTAACCCTGGAACAATATTCCTCCTCCCTTTCTCTCAATGGAAGGATAGAGATGATAAAAGAATTTCAAAATGTTTCTGCTACAGATTTGCCCTCTGTCTCCGTCTCTCTCCCCAAGTTCCAGAGCTCAGTGCAAAAGTGAGGGGGGGGATATATATATATAAAGAAGGGATCAGGAAAGGTTATCCTTGTGTGGAATAATTTGTTCCTTGCTGAATTCTCCCATTGTTGGTGCACAAACTGGGGAAATTGCCTTAACATTTTCTCTAGCCCTGAGGTTGCAATGCAAGATGCAAAGAATCCCACCTGCGGTCCACCAAAACATTGGAAAAATCAAAGGAGAGAAAGAGAAGGGACAAAATGGAGTATGTGTGTGAGTGCATGTGCCTTCAGATTACATGTAGACATGGCCGGGAAAAAAAAAAAAGATCATAGAGTTGGAAGGGACCGTAAATGCCAACTGTGCCTTCAAGTTGCCTGTTGACCTATGGCCAAAAAAGAATAATAGAGTTGGAAGGGACCATAAGTGCCAACCGTGCCTTAAAGTTGCCTGTTGACTTACAGCCAAAAAAGAATCATAGAGTTGGAAGAGACCATGACAACTATGTCTTAAAGTTGCCTGTTGACTTATAGTCAAAAAAGAATCATAGAGTTGGAAGGGACCAAAAGTGCCAGCTGTGCCTTCAAGTTGCCTGTTGACTTATGGCCAAAAAAGGATCATAGAGTTGGAAGGGACTATAAGTGTCATCTGCATATGTGCCTTCAAGTTGCCTGTTGTTTTATGGTGACCCCATGAATTTCATAAGGTTTTCTTAGGCAAAGAAGACTGAAGAGATGGCTTTGCCCATTCCTATGACCTACAGCGCCTGGTATTCATTGATGATCTCCCATCTAAGTACTAATCTGGGATGCCCCTGCTTTGCTTTCCAAGATCAGACTGCTTTTAGGGTACTTAGGCCTACAAAATGGAGGCTTGGCCTCAAAAGAAACCAGTTGTTCCTTCTGCAAGGCATTCGTTTCGATAGGTAAGGCAGACATCTATTATGGAAAGGTAGTTTTAAAATTTCCGGCTACCAGGGGACATATTCTCCACCTTTGCTCACTTATGGTGGTGCCCCAAAGCATTCCGGGACATTCTCACGCTCCCATGCCATGGATGACCAATGTTGGAAACTGATGGCCATCCCCACTGACACAGGTTGGAGATGTTGCTGGACTACAATCCTCTGTCATTCTACATGCGGTGAGAGGTTTAGACAAAGTATGGTGGACAAAAATGACCAGGTCTGCAACCTGAAGGGGTAGTTTGGGTGATTTTGCTGAACACTTGTCTACTTTCCTAGATGCAGAAAGTCAAAGCAAGGCTTGTTGGATCAGACTTTCTAACAGATAACTGCAGGGTGACTGGGGAGAGGAACTCACCCAACCCACCAGTCTGTTTCTAGGTCTGAGAATCAAATGGAAAACCACATTCAAGAGATGGAGCTGAAGGCAAGGATGCCATTTACTATCCTCAAAAAAATGGAGAGACCTGTGCACAAGCAACATCCAAGTAGGTCAAGATGGCAACAGCTCATAGTGAGGGCCAACACCTAAGCTAGGAGAGGCTGCAGCAGTTTGCTTTTGTCCGAGCCTGCTGGGAAGGGCAAGCCTCTGCCCTTCCAGTCCTCTCTCCCTCCTACTGAGTTGAATGCAAATTACTTTTGCATTTTGAACCCAGTTTGCAGCAATTGAAGACAGCTGAGGACAAAGTTGGGAGGAAGGGAGAGATACCAGGATATTTTAAAAGCAGGCAGAAAAGTGGGATGGAGAGGATTAATCGGGACTGTCCTGGCCAAATCAAAATAGTTGGAAGGAGCTACTCTTGCACTTTGAACTGAGTTTGCAGCAATTGAAGTAAGCTGAGGATAAAGGTGGGAGTAAGAGAGAGAAACCAGGACATTTTAAAACCAGCTGGGAAAGTGAGATGGTAGAGGCTTAACTGTCCCTGTCAAATCGGCTATGCAATCTTTAGATGACGGCCCTTTTTGATAAGCTTCCTATCAATTGTTTGAATCCTAATGTGGCAATGAAGGATCAAAAACAGGGAGCTATATAGTCCCATTTGTGTTTTTTAATGGTACACCCTCGGACTTTTAACAAGCAAGGAGGAGAATGCAGCAAAGGATGGGATGCATTTGTATGTGTAAACACCCGCAACCTGGTGTCTGAGCATGGAAACCTCTCCATCTTAAAAGAAAGGCAGACAGAGAGAGAAAGAAAGGAGGAGAAAGAAAGATAGGAAGGAAGGAAAGAAGGAAAGAGGAGGAGAGAAGGAGAAGAAGAATAAGGAGAGAAAGAGAGAGAGGAAGAGAAAATTATGATAATGAGACATAACTATCAAAAGTTGCACTGGATTTCTCAAATGAATAAATAAACAAATGAAATTTTAAAATCACACAGCTTTAATTCCTGTATTTCAGGAACACAGTCCTCTAAGTTGATAACCCTCTAGTTTTGTCCGAGGAAACAGGAGTTATGTATGAAGAAGGGGATTTTGGAAATCCTGGAAGGTTAACTTTTAAGAGGCCAAATCATAACCAATTCAAGCTGTTTTGAGTAAGGGAAGATGCATATTAGTGAGGCATATTAGTTTTTGTTGTTGTGGTTATAATATTGCTGTCGTGTGCTTTCAAGTCGTTTCCAACTTAGGGCGACCTTGAGGTGATCCTATCATGGGGTTTTCTGGGGTTGAGAGAGTGTGACCCGTCCAAGATAATCCAGCGGGTTTCTATGGTTGAGCGGGGATTTGAACCCTGATCTCCAGAATCCCAGCCCTACATCCAAACCACTACACCACACTGGCTCTTTGTTGTTGTTGTTATTATTAAAACCAGTAATGTGGGTTATATCTATATGACTTGATCCTTGCTTTTTTCATCTAATTTCTACCGATTTTGCTGTAAGGCAGCGATGCGGTGGACCCTCCACATTCGTATCTTTGACTTTTGCACATTTGACTAGACACCGATTTAATTAATATATTATCTCTACGAATCTCCAGGTGCTCCAGCACGACTCTGCCGGAGGTTCACCATAGAGTCACATTGTAGGACCTAGACTAGTGGTGTTGAATCTATGGCACGCGTGCCAGAGGGGGCACTCAGAGCGCTCTCTGTGGGCACGCGCACCATTAGCCCAGCACAGAGTTCGCCAGAGTTCATTACTAGAAAGCCAGAGGGATGCAGCACTTTGCGATAAATAAGTGGGTTTGGGGTTGCAGTTTGGGCAACTGACTTAGACATTCCTAGAGAAAACACTTCTCTAGCCATTTATAAGTCCTCCAGCATGGCTCTGCGGTCAACAGCTCTATGTGGACCATAGAGTAGTGCTGGAGGACCTAGAAATTCCTAGAGAGGTGATCTCTCGGTTTTAAAAAATACACTTGTCCCTCCATATTTGCTGGGGTTAGGGGCACAGGACCCTCGTGAATGTGGAAAAACTGCAAACAACAAAAACACTATGTTTTTAACTAAGAGAACGCCTCTCTAGGGATCTCTAGATCCTCCAGCGCAACTCTTTGGTCAACATCTGCCAGACATTGACCATAGAAGTGTGCTACAAATGCCTAGTGGAGTGTTCACTCTAGGAATCTCTAGGTCCTTCAATGCAATTTTTGGTTAAAGTTGACCACAGAGTTGCGCTGGAGGACCTAGATATTCCTAGAGAACATATCAAATCCGTGAATAATCAAATCCGCAAAGTCAAACTGCAAATGTGGAGGGATGAGTGTAGTGTTTTTTTATTTGCTTTTTCCCCACTTTTACAGTGGTCCTGTGCCCTTAACCCCAGCGACTGTGAAGGGCCCAACGGATAGTACATCTGCCCAATTTTCAACACCCCAGCGAGATTATTCTCCCAATTGATCAACAGAATAGGGGAAAGTGAAGCTGAGATAGATGGCATCCATGGTTCAAGTTCATGCTTTGCATTGCATGCCTGGGAAAGCACTCTGCAAATGCTCAGAGGTTAGGACACTGAAGCCAAAACCCAAAAGAATGCGTGTTGCCTTGGCCCCAAAATTGAACCTTGAGCAAAGTCAGGAATGAGTCTGCAGTTAATTTCATTTTCTCCTCACCTCGAGGAAAAATTTGTGACTAAAAAAAATGGAAGTCACGAATTACATCAAGCCATTTATGTTGTATGTGCATGAACTCCTTCTACCCATGTGGCGGTACGCTTTTTTTACGGTGATGCAGGTCACCGTTTCTTCTTGCCTCAAGCTCCTGTTAAATGGGCTCTCATGTACATAAAATTTATTAACTTATACAGCATTTTTAAAAGAAATATATTCTAATTAGAACTGAGTTTGAGCTAATGAACAGGAGAGGAGACAGGAGAAAACATCAAGTCCAATCAGAGTGATTTGAAAACGGCCACCTTTGTGTGGCAGCCATTTTGTCCTGCATGGGATTTTTACCTCAGACAACTGAGATCCCCCATTTTTCTCCTCAGGAGATTGAAGGGAAACTACTCGAGGGGTTAAAAATAACATCCTTTACGCACATTTCAATGTACTCTCTTATGGGAATGTCAACAGCGGGAAATGTAAGGTACTACATTTAGGCACACACAAATAAATGAAATAGGATGAGTAAATGTGGCTCACAGAGCGTGTATAAAGAAAGGTTTATTATTCTGCACTGCAGAATTAATGCACTTTGATACTGCCACTGCTCCATGCTATGGAGCCCTGAGATTTGTAGTTTTGTGAGATATTTAGCCTTCTCTGTCAGAGAACCCTGGTGCCCCAACAAACTACAAATCCCAGGATTCCATAAGACGGCGCCATGGCCATTAAAGCGGTGTCAAACTCCTTCATTCCTTCAGTGCAGATGAGGCCTACAACAGTTAGGCACAAAACTGCCATTTTATGATAATTATGGAGAAAACCCAAACCCTCACAGCGTTCGAGACCAAAGTTTAGAGTGGTGGCCATTCTGGATTAATTAAAATCGATCGAAAGGTTATACTCTTTTGTGCGCCCGTTTTCAATGAGGGTTTATGGGCGGTTAAATCTTCTTTATCGACGGCAAACAGGAGACCACAAAACAGTTATTATTCTGAGGGAATTAATCCTTACTTCTTGCAGCAAACGTTGGATTCACAGATCCAGTTTGTGGCTAACACATAAGTTCTGAAATGTACTGAGGGGGGGAAAAAAATCAGATTTATTTAGCTATAAATCTACCTCAGGCCACTCAAATGTTTCTCTCTTTAACCTCCCGCATCCAACCCCTTCCAACAGAAATTAAAACTGTGTGATTTCATTACTCTGGGTTGGAGATACTTTATAAAGTTTATCAAATGGGTGAGGAAAAAGGAGGTAGATTTGAAGATGGGTAGGGAAGCAGGAACACTGGCTTTTTTCCACAATGCATTTGGAATAAAAAATTACAGCACAGCATAACCGATTGAAACCAACAAAGACAACAGGAAGGGAGGAGATAAATAAAAAAGAGAGAGAGAGAAAATCCAGAAAGCAAAAAAGAAAATTATAATATTGAAAGTGAAAACTTAATCAGAAAAAAAAGGAGAAGGGGGAAAAATACTTAACAAAACGGAACAACCGTTCTTTGAAAATCATATGTATATAGAGGTATATATACACACACAGAGACGTGTACACAATTAAAAAAAAAAACAAAACAAAACAAAACGGGGAAGGGGGGAAATGAAATATTCCAAAACAAATCATATATATATAAAATAATCTTCCTGCAACAAAAGGAAACAAAATGGGGAGGGGGAAAAAAAGAAGGACTATCGCATGCAAAGACTGGCGATCGCATTCTTCTATCATGCATCAGGCCGAAATGTCCATACGGCAAGGTAACCATGACGACAGAAAAAAGTGCACATAACGCAGCAAACGTTACCAACGGATGCAGAAAGACGCCCACAATGCAACTCAACTCATCACCGACGAGACCCGAGAACGAGCGGGTCTCGCTCGTCATCTTTTGTCGATATAATATAGATATATAGATCGATCGATCGATTTCTCGCTTTCTTTCTTTCTCTCTCTCTCTCTCTTTTTTTTATGTTTCATTTTTTTAAAATTAAAAATTAAATTTTCTCATCTATTTTCTCATATTTTTTTCCTTTTTTTTAAATGAAAAAGATATATAGAGATATCTAGGTATATATATATATATATATATTTCTCTCTGTTTTTTTTTTGTTTTTTTTTTAGAAATGTAAAAATGTGGGTATAAAGAAAGTAAAAAAGAAAAAAAACCACACCAACCTTCTCGTAGCTCTGAGGGATGTTAAGGGGATTTGATGCAGAACACAATGACATGAGGAGAAGAGAGAAAATAGGGGAAACACAGAGAGAGTAAAAAAAGGCCTTCACAGCTAGCAACTGCAAATCGATTCGTTTTCTTGTTTTCTTTTCCTTTTCCTCCACCTTTAACTTTTCTTTTCTTTT